AAGATGATTTAGTCACTAAGAAATGAACATATTTATAATAATATATGTTTGTTTAGACAACTTTATTAGTCAACTATTTATTTTGTTTTCATAACGTTTAAGGATACTTAGTGGTTATTATTGTACGGACATAGTATTAATCGTAATATTTATATGTGTTTCTATTATAAAAATATCAACTTGTATAATTTACCTTTTAAATAATTGATCAGAATCCCCAGATAGTTATTTAAATCTAAAATTAATATATATATATATATATGTATTGCATATTTATATACACTTTTTGGAAATTAATTCACTTAAAAAGACAATTCAAAACTTAATATAACTTTGTTACAGAATTACTTTTAACATAAACAATTTTCTTTCTGTAAAATGTCTAACCCAGAACTACCACTGCGCTTACAGAAAAAATTGACGGGATCACTCACTCGCTCACACTGTTTAATCTTAGGTGGAAGAGGGTGATGGGGAATTATCCAGTACTCTGGACAGTATCTCAAGGTGAGAGGAAATTTCCAAACACCAATAAGTTTTAACAATTATTTGTAGATCAAATAATTTGGTTCTCAATAATAAGTAACAAAAATATTATTTTTTTTTATTATTACTAATTAAAAATTGGCTATTTAGTATTATTATGCAGTTACTATATTAATATTTCACCTTTGAGTAGAATATATCATTTTTAATAGTATATTTAATAAGTGTAAATGTTTGAATTTTGCAAATTATATTTAGTATGACATATATTTCTTAAATAATATTGTTTTATTTGATTTAACTAAGTATACCTATTCTCCAAAACAGTTTTAAACACACTATATTAATTCTAAGGTTTCTCTTGTTGAGAACTTATGTTTTATTACTAATATGTTTCTATAATATCATATTTATAAAATTATAAAATTCTACTTTCTATCTGCAGTATGTAAGCGCTTACCTGCAGTGCTCGTGTATAGAAAATGTTAATATAAACAATCGGTGAAAATTTCATGTATTTAAAGTTTTTGTTTTAGAGTAAAACCAAAACCAATTTTGGGTAAAAATTACAGTTTTTTTTAATTTTGATTTTGTTTTTCCCTGCGCTTTCGAAATCTATTGAGAATTTCTGTTGAAGAAAATCAAAGTAGTGTTACTGCCCCAAACTATGATGACTGATGACAGACACAAAAAAAAACATATCATTGTAAAAACAATACTAATAAGTAATAAAATACGGGATAAAATATTAATTTATTAATATTATAACTTAATTCTAAAAAAGTAAATAGTAATAAATCATAAAAAAAAGAGTTATGAGTGTTTTAGTATGCTTTTTTTAATGGTACCTTAAAAAAAAGTCGCTCAAACTTGTAATGGAAGTTATGTTCAAAAAACTTCAAAATACTCGATTTTTCAAAAATCGTGTTTTTGAATTAAAAATACCAAAAAATTGTATTTTTGGAATTTTAATTTTTTTTGTATTGTTAATATATTTTGTATACTTAATGTTTTGATAAAATCAAAATTTATCTATCGTACTTACTTTTTATGTTAAACTTAAAAATGCTCGACTTTTCTAAAATCGTGTTTTTGAGTTTAAAATACCAATACCTAAACATTTTTGAAATTTTTTTTTCATTCGGTGTGGAATGACAAGCTTTTAGTATAACGGGATCTAAGATCTAACTAATAACTTAGCTTTGTGTGATATAAATATAATAATATAATATTTAAAATAATAGAAAATCAATTATTAGTTGAACTCATCATCTGAATTTGAACCATCAGAATGTTCAGCAACTACAAGTTACAACTAACTGCATTTGCCCAGAAGGGTTGTACACTATAAGGGTAAGTTAAAAAAATTCCGTTAAAGGATCTAACCCTGATGCTCGGCGTGACTTCAGGAACATGTATTTGGCCAGATGATAGCCTGCATAGAAGTGTTTTTTTCTGCAATACTGCGTCATTGACGCTTTAGCATGATTTAGCAATTTTTTTGTAGTCAAGTGAGCAAGAAACAAAATACGTGTTTTCTTACGCTGAATTCAAAACTGTTTGAAAAAATTCCCGGAAACTTACCGTCCAAAAGTTATGGAAGTTCAAAGTTGCAGTGATTACGTGTGTATCGGCACTCCGCTCCGCAAATCGAAAATATCCCCCGATTTGTTGAACTTTGAATTGCCATAACTTTTGAACTGTAAGTTTGGGGGAATTTTTTCAAACAGTTTTGAATTCAGCATAAAAAACCACGTATTTTGAAAAAAAGGGTGTCCCGTAAAGTAGGTAATATATCTAAAAATTATATAGTTATACAAACACATAATACACATTACACCACGCTGGTCACTCGCAATACTCGCTCGCTCGAAAAATAAAAATCAAATAAAAATGTAATGTAATACATACCGATCTTTTCATGTCGGATAATCATTCCGTCAAAAACAACTTCTCGGTGAAAAGAGGCCCAATCAACAGACGTCTGTCGAGTCATGTCCGTTTGCTTTCGAATAAATTCAAGTGATACTTGTTTATCCCACGAATAGGCAAACATAACAATTTGGTAGATCTTCAGGTGAGACTTTAAGAAAAAAGAAAATTTCCGAACGGATTGTTGAAAATCGCACTTCACTTTTTTTTTTAACTTTGGTCAATCGAGGTTTGTCTGCACCGCCAAACAAAACCATCCATAGAGTTGACATTAGAACACAATAATAATAAATGACCCTTATTGCATTTTTATGTACTGAAGTTTGCAATAAGTCCCCAAGACTGCAATGTCTCTATTATTGGCATGATTGGCGGACCACGTTGCTTACGCTCAAAAAGTTCGTACATTTTGACAATATTCAACATATTGGTATAATTTAATATAAAATTTATATAAACCACAAATCACGGTGTTGCACAAACTTAATTGAAAATCGTTATGAGCTATATATTATGACTTATGAGGTACATATCAAATGCCGATAAAGATACGCACCTAGCGTACAAATATTGGTAAGCCTAATAAATTATAGTTTATCGCTAACGATTAGCTAGTTAGATATAGTTATTTGGTAAAAACCAAAGCTGTGTGGAACTGCAAAATTAAAATAGACCACAATATTATGCCACGATATTTTAATAGGTAGGTACCTTATTTTCAACATAATTAAATTCGCTTTAACTTCGAAAGTAATTCCGACTGACAAATTTTTATTACACCAAAAACTTAGTCATTACATATCGAATGAGAAAAAAGTTTCCAAAATGTTTAGATATTGGTAGTTTTAATTCAAAAACTCAATTTCTTGAAAAATCGAGTATTTTGAACCATAACTTCCATTAGAAGGTTGAGCGACTTTTTTTAAGGTAGGTACCATTAAAAAAAGCATACTAAAGCACACATTTTGCAAAAAAAAAATCGCTTGTTGGCTGAACTAGAATTATGCCGAAAAAGTTATTGATTGGAACTTAAAATGTAACAATTAATTTTAAACCTACATATACATGTATATGTATTATATAGATTGAATATTGATCATAGATGTAGGTATCGATTAGATGTATACGAAACAATATTTTACTAAAGTTTTATTGGAAATGTTGACTTTGAACCTAATTGGAAATAATATTTTTGTGGGTGTCTAGGTAGGGGTGGGTGGGTGTTTAAAATTTGTGTCTGCACCACCAACTAAAAATTAGTTCGGCGCCACTGCTTCGGGGGTTATAATGTGATTGAAAAACAGGGATGCAGTATGATGTAGATACTCGAAGACCACGATAACTACGAAGACAACTAGTCTCCATGAATCAAACACAATATATAATAAGAATATATCATTATAATATTGATGTACCTACCTACTTGTAGTACCGACTTTCTATTGGTTCAAAAAATTATCTTATAGCCGGCCCTAGGCATTTTTTATTTGATTTTTTTATAATACACTCTTTTTATTAATATATTAACATTTTACCGATAAAACTTATGTGGGGTTACTACTTGCCAGTAATACACAGTAGGTAGGTACACCATAGCATAATGTCTCCATCTATTTAGAGCTTTTTTATATGACCTGTAGGCTATAAAAATTGCTCGTAAGCAATCCATTTTTCCGTAATAATCGTAATATGTATCGTATCTCGTAATACTTACTATAATCATTTATCAATTATAGGAATATAATGTCATTTCTAACGAATTAATATAATTGCCAAAATAGTTTTGATATTTTTTCGGTAAATATTTCATATTTTAAAAACATAGAGATAAAAATAGAAATAGAACTAGAAATCAAGGGATGCTAAACAAGGATTTAGGAGTGCTAGACTCTTGCACTCCCCTATACTTGTGCCAATGTGTCCCAACTTTGAAGTTTGAGTATTACTATAGTAATATAATTACCATGTATACCTACATATATTTAAAATTTACCTACCTGAGTACGACGTACCTATACATATATATTAAAATTAAGGTAGTTTAGTTCCCACTCGATTTTTTTTTCTTTCAAAATGTGTGGTTACAAGCACAGAATACAAAAGTATTATTAAAAAATGCTCGCATTTTTTTACTTTAAAAGTTATACCAAAAATACTATAAAACAGTACATTTTTCAAAAATAAGAGAAATCCTCGATTAAAACATAATAAATTATTTATATTTATTTCGTTACTGGTTAAGAAAAAATCCAAAATCAACTGAACATTATTTTTCACCTTATTTGAAAACTTCTTTGAAAACTCCAAATATATCATGTATTAAATCAAAATACAATGATATGTTTATTTGTACAGTCACTGGTAATAAAAAGGTTATTCATCAGTATAAACTTAAATCAGTGTTAAAAGCTAATTCAGATGAATTAATAAAAATAATTAACTCCAGTTCAAGAGCCAACTTCCTGTAAAAGTAGAAAGTAAAATTAATGTCGATGGATTTCTTTTTGACATAATAAAGGTCACAGAAAATTGTGACAATTTATAACTTAGACTTACATTGAAGAATAAGAATATACAAGATTTTATTCCTTTGGAAATTGATGTTTCTAAAAAAAGTATTAATAATTTAAACCATACAATATTTTTGGCAGTAGATCCTAACTTCAAAATTATTGGATATTTAGAAATAGAGCCGTTGTATGTATCTACTTGGAAAAATAATAAAACTGTCCGCTATTAGCCTATAGTGGTCTACATGCTGAAGCTTACATAACCAAAAGTAAAATGCATTTACTATTTAGTATTTATAAATTTCAAACTTATGTACTTATTTCCATAGCATGTGAAGGCGTACTCATATAAATATGACTATAATGTAAATTTTTAGAGTTATATGATTCTATAATCACTTTAGAGGTCCATTCATTCAAATTTATTTATAATAATGTATTCTATACTGAAGGTAATCTAAATAGTTATCAGAATACTTTTGGGAAAAGTATTTTAAAATTAAAAATATTCCGAATACTGTATTCGGACATCGGAAATACCTACTACCCAAGGCTGACTATAGATTAGGTTTGACTGTTTGAGTGTAGGTACCTTTCATTAAAAAGTCACTGTAGTAGATTTTAAATTAGTTGAAAACTTGAAATCAACGTTAAATCGTTGAAAATGAAAAAAGATTCTGAGCAGATACATGCAGTATTGCAGTCAGTCTTCTAAGGAAGTGTTATAATTTATAATTTGTTTATATTACTAAGAAGTACCCTAGTAACTTATTTTTCTATAAAACCGTTTTTCTAACTGTATAAAACAAAAAAAATATATCAGTGTTTTCCGTTCCATTATGAATCCAAGCCCATACAATTGAACAGATGTCAAGTATAATTTAACTTGCATATTATAGTTATTGTCTTTACGTCACAACTGAATGAAAAATAATCAGACATTAGTAACAAATGTAAATTATATTGTTTAACATAAATAACATTTTTTTTTTTTTTTTTTGGAATACAAAATAAATATTTAAAAGTTGTTATTGTTCTGCAAAAAAAAAACAATCAATAACCATTAAAAAAGTTACCTACTTAAAGTACAACAACTTACAAATTTATTTATTAAAATTAAATTAATCTATCTAATTTATACATGAGAACAGTAGCCTTAACAAAATGTTTTATACAAATCAGAAAACAGTTTGCATCTAATTATGTGATGTATGTATGTTAAATATAATATTATTTAATTAAGATATAATTTTTTTTTTAATCAAATTATTTATTAAGTTAATCAACAGGAAATTAAAATGAGAATACAATATTAATTGGTGAACTTAATTTCAAAAATAATGAATGTGACATTACTGACTTATTAACAAATATATTAAGGATGTATATAAGTTGGAACTTGATGACATAAAACACATATAAATGCACAGCATCAACACATTTTAAGTAGACATAGTTGACAGTCATCGAAGTAGACAAATTCAAAATAATAAAATATACTTTATGGCCATAAAATGCTGCTGCTTCTGTTTTGCTGAAGATATGATAGTGAATATTTACATCTGTGACCAACATATAAAAATTCATATTTTGGTTAACCATTTACAATATTCTGTTCGCATATAAAATTGGCGTTACAAATTTCAAATCGGTATTACAATTGTAAATAAAATAAAAATAACAAATTTCTTTGTCTGTTTTACAATAAGAAAAACATATGATTTGTATTTGTAAGCCCTATATATTATAATAAAATATGGGTCAAACAGTTGCCAAAGGTACTATGTCCATTTAAACAAAACCACAAAATCATTGATTTTCGATAATATTATATTATTTTTGTTAAATGATCCTTTTTGTACTTTTAAAATCGTAAGTGGAAGCTACAAATGCATCTGTTTTCTCTGTCTTACACATGTTCGACATGGACAATTTTTGTTCACTTGTTTCAATAACGTACTAGGTATTAGTTTTTATGTTTTAGAGATTAGACACATGTTATCAATCTTTTAGGTAAGGACATTAAAATATGTGTTTATACATCGGCTTTTATTTGATATTTTAATATTCAAGAGATATATGAGCATTTTTAATTTGTGATAAGTTACAGAAGATGTAAAAATGTGATGTAGTTGCAAAACATGGTCTGTCCAATCATGTTTTTTTTTTTTTTTTATGAACATACTACTTTTCAACTATTTGACACTTATAATGTTACAATGAAATAATGTATATTATAATATAAAACTAAATTAAATACTTTTCTAAAACTGAATAAATATTATGTCATAACAAATAAACAATTATAATAGAATAAAAACATAAATATATAAGTTACATAAATAGTTACAATAATTAGGGCTATAAATGATTACTAGTAAGTATAGTAGGTAAGTTTAAATAATAACTTAATATATATATAAATGACTTTAATTATTAGAATTAGAGTTTTAAATATTTTATACTCGTTTAACACTTATTCAAAACAGCAAATCAAACAATAGTAATAAATTTGCATATTGCATTCAAATAAATTATATTAATATAGGAATTTATTTACGAAAAAAAAAAACATAATTTATTATATTAGAAATATCAAATTCATAAAATAATTTTTTTCCCCAATATTTTTGAATATTATATTAAAATATATAAACCAAATAACATAAAACTACAAAATACCATAAGATTATAGTTTGCCTATATTTTATAACTATAATTGTAAATGTTTCAATGTAAATAATTATTAAAATATATATGTAATTAACATGTGATTGTTATTATAATTTATAAGAAGGTATTGCATAACATATAGCCAAAAAAGTAAATATAATTACTTACAGTTATTTGGTTTAAGTGTTTTTTTTCTTTTTTAGATAATGAGATTTGTATAAATAATTTTATTATATTTACTAAAGAACATTTCTTTCTTTTATTACAAAAATAATACAGTAGGTACAGTAGGGTACAGTAGTACTAAAAATGACTGCCTATTATGCGCCAGTCATTCTTATAATAACTACCATATTTAATTGTTTTAGTATTGGTACTTGAAATTATTTTAGAAAAATCTCTTTAGTAAAAATATATTGCCAATCAAATAAGTTATGAAAAATGATATTGTATAGTTTGATTTGAAATTATTATAACTAAAAACCTAAAATACAATACATTTAAACACAATGACGTTGTAAAATAAAGTTAAAATGGTAGTAATATAACAAATTGACAAATGTAACAACAAAAATTCCATATGATTAGGACATCAAATACCTGATCTATATCTGTAACATTAATGTTTTGCCTAATGATCTTCTTTAATCCTTTTTGTTTCATGTTATTATTAGAAACACCTGTTACCCGAAAACGAAGTGGCACTTTCTTGCAATTGCCTTTTAGTCTCTTTGCACTTGAATAAGAGTCTACTTCATCATTATAATAACTATATTGATCTAAACAAAAACAATATTTAATTAATTTAATTATATCATACACTCTTTATTTATACAAATGATTCCACAACGGAAATTAAATATTGAAAGTAGAACAATTTATCTAAGTACTGAATGATGGGAGTAATATAAATGACATTTTATGGCATAAATTGTGTAAGACTGTTAATCAATTTATTGAATTATGCTTCTTTTATATTTTTGTATTATAATCAGAGGCGGAACTAAGAATTTTTACGCCCGGGGAAAATATTAAAACTAAGCCCAATCATAGACCAAGATTGAAAATACAATATCATTCCCTACAATTGTTTTATCATAACTGGATACTGGAACTAAAATTACAAACATACTTATTAACTTTTAAACACATAATATATAATAATTAATATATTCTGTGGACTGTGGTGTAACCAAGTTTATACTAATAAACTATCACACCAAAAACACTTTAAATTTAAAAACTTAGTCAACATATTGTTGATACATTTTTAATTACTGGAAATACTGTATTGGTTACTTAATTGTGTTTATTATTAGAAATAATAATAATATTAGTTATATATAAATGTTGAAAAATAATCAAAACTTTAATTACCTACCTATCCTGTATACAAATTGTAAATACTTTTGCTGTTTTGGTTCTATGCGCCTCAGCCTTCAATTATAATAGATTTTTATAGTAAAATATAAAATATTTTATTCTGATTAGGGTACCTACACAATTTAGGCCAGTAAAAAATTGTATTTAATTAAACAATTTATAATAGAAAAAATGAAAAATTAAATATTTAAAATCAAATCTTTTTTTTAAACATAAACAAATGTATAATTATCTTGGTAAATATTATAATATATAATATTATAAACTATAATATATTAACATCATTTTTAATATACAGATATAATATACGTATCGTACGTTGATTGATAATCTTATAACAGTTATTGTGTAGGTATCAGAAATTTTAACGAAAACACAGCATCAATAAATGCCTAGGTATAGTTACTAGTTACATTTTCACTCAGAATCTTAATAATTATAGTATATTAGTTGTATATGCTTGCAGTAGGTATGCTAATGCCAGTACCTATACCAGTATATACTTAGTATACTAATACGAATCTATTCATAATCTTACTATTAACTTTATTTTATTTTTTTTCATTAATTCCAACGTCATCACTACAACATCATAAACAAATAATGTGAAATAAAAATGTTTTCTTAACTTCTATCACCAAGCATTAAATAAAGAACTAAAGAAAAATTACGCCCACTAAAATTTTACGCCCGGGGATCAATCCCCGGCTTCACCCCCCTAGTTCCGCCCCTGATTATAATTTTAAATTTTAATACCTGTATGTTGAAGTTTTGTTACAGAAAATATGTAGATTATGTAGAATGTACTTATATGTATACTATTTAAGCATATTATTTATGCTTAACTACACCAAATAAGCCAAAAACATAAAAAAAATAAAATATAATATAATTTAATAATTATGGTATCTTTAAATTGTTTTCTATGTCAACCCTGGGTCCTAGCATAAAAAATGATACAATATTTATATGTAAAAGCATTAACATATGTGCCAGGTTTATTGAAAATTAGTCAATCTTTATTTAATATTAAGAAAAAGAAAAAACATGAACTTACTTTCTGAAAGTAAGATGACTCTTCGGCCATTTGAATTACCTAAAATAATGAAATAAAATTGAATATAATATACAACTTAATTGTAATATTAATATATTATCTTATATCCACTAAACAAATATAATATCTGGGATGTTCAAAGGATTTGCGATGTTCAGGGCAAAAATAATTGTGATACCTAAAATACATTTTTATTTAAAAGTATCTTATAAATACTAACTTTTTTCTGTTTATAATAATTAATTCAATAGTAACAAACTTGAGAAGAAAGTTGCTGGCTTGGATGATATTATATTTCCAAGAAGCAAATTAAGGCTATAGCATGCATAAAGCAAACAATGGTTTTCTGAGAGAATTACTGTTTTTCTTGGTTTTATCCTACTATATTTGCTGATACAATGCTTGACCGGAGCAGTTAATTACTTATTATATATTAAGTATATCAAGGATATATTTATTTATGAAACATACAATTTTAAATGCTATGGAATAATACAATTTTTTAAACCAATTTTTCTATTTTGTTTATTTCAATGAGACTTCTAATCTATTTTAAAAATTAAAAATTATAAAGCCATGTCTTCCCTCTCCCCCTCCCCCACCCAAGGAAAGCTAAATCATAATACTATACTAGAAGTTAGTAACTTAGTACATACAATAAATTAAAACAATTATATACCTTCAGTTTGTACTCTTATTCCTGGTTTGTTAGAATATTTCTTTCTTTTCACTCCATGAGCACTGAAAAAAAATATTATTTATGATTTACAGTTATTATATTTTATACTCATTTTCTATAAATTGAAACATTTTATAAAATAAGAATATATCAAAATATATTTTAAAAAATCTCGTTGTACAACTGATATAATAATATTATATTAAAACGGCTGGTCTATATAAAGTTATTTTTAATTCTTTGGAGTAAATAATACGTCAATACCCGATAACTGTATCATGTGTTGTAGCTCTAAATATAAAAATATATAATATATATTTAAAATATTTAATCACAAAATTTAATCATAAACTATCCTGTCAGAATACAATTTAAGTTTCGAAAACGATTAAAATCAGAATAGATACAGATATAAGTGCGTGACCATGGTTTTACTTTTTTCCGTACGGCGTACAGTTTCATTAGTGTTACAAGTTACAACCTTTTAAAGTCTTAACACTCGTAGCCACTACTAGTTGATAATTTAATATGAACTATCTATAATATTCAAATCAACCATAATATTATGATTTGTTACTTATAGTTTATATTTTGCAATAAAAATTAATAATGAATATTCAATAAATATTAAAAACTATATTATTATATAATATACATTTAATACTACCTTGAATCAACTGCATCTCTAATTGCAGACTGTAACAAACGAGTAGGATAAAATGATTCTGATTTTTTCTTTAAATCCATTTCATTCTAGATAGATAATAAAATAATTGTTGAAACTGGTTAATTAAATATTATTAATTTGTATTTTTTACCATATTTAGTCGAAGAGCTCTTCGTCTTTTTAGTTCTGTTCTCAGATCAACAGAATCAGTATGTTGTATGGATAAATTTTTAACATCGAGTACCTGCTGTTTTAGAAACAAATAAGAAAATTATTAAAAACCAGTGGTTTCTGACGTTTTAAAGAAGAAAAAGAAAATGAATCTTTAGAAATATTTAATTTCTATTTTTATTCAATTTAAACAAAGAGAAAAACAATTATTTTAAAGAAAACTGGTTTAGTCCAAGTAGACATTTAAACTGCAATTAAAGAAATAGACAATGTAAAAGAGCCTAATGTATATTGTTAAATAGATTTCATTGGTAGCTTTTGGTTTCATTTCTAATCAATATATTAATTGTCTACTTCTTTGATCCGAGAAAATTGCTACTTAAATTGGTTTTCTTCATAATATTTTTTCCCTTTATTTATTAAATTGTTATAACTTTGTTAGGTTCAAATGTTATTTTTCTTACTTCTAAAGGAGGATCAAATGGTCTCATTTCCACTTGTTTATCAACAAGCTTAAGTTTAACTGTTTTCTGTAAATAATTATTATTATCAGCACATCGAATAGTAGGAGATATTTGTCTAGATCTCTTTAGTTTCTTAATTGGGCTATTTGATTTTTTCATAGGATAGCTATTATCTGGTGATCTTGATTTCCTCTTGAGGGGTATCCTTTTTCTAATAAATTGAGATTGTCTTCTATTATCAGGCGATATGACTTGTGTTTTTTTTGGAGATGATGAAGGGTTCTGAGATTTTGGAGGAGAACATCGTACTGGGGAAAGAATTTTTTCTTTTATTGGTGATAATTTTCTAGGTGATAAAGATGTATGTTGAGGCATTGAATGACTAACTGTAGTAGAACATCTATTTAAATATTTAGTATGAGAAGAGATTGATCTTTTTATATTAGATGGGAGTGGAGATTTCAAAACAACAGATGATTTCAACAAACTACTTTGAGATGGAGAGTTTGTATTGGTTTCTAGAGTAATTATAGATTCAAGTTCTTCTTTAGATGGATTTAACTGTGATTTAGAGTCTTCAATTATCTTTGGTTGATTTAATGCAATTTGTTCATTTCTGTTAGTATTCAATTCAGTAGCATTTTTTATCACAGTATCGTTGTTTATTTTTAAACTTGAACTTTCATTTATAGATGATTCACTCACTCCATCAGCAATTTCAGCCTCTATAATATCCATTAATGTGTCGAGGTCATCTAAATCTTTATCTTTTGCTCCCAATGATACAATATCACAATCATCTGATTCTTCTTTTTCATTTATTTCTGGTTCACTGTCATCACTTTCTTCAGAATCAGATTCATGTTCTAATCTGCTGAACTTAGTGGAAACTGTAGGAAAACAAAAAAAAAAATACTTAAACTATAAACTATAAACTTGAGTCTTATCTTAATATGTATTTTAAAAACAACTATTGATTATTCAAAAACTATTATACTTTATTGAATTACCTTCATTACTTGAATTATGAATATTCGATGACTTTTCAACCTCAGAATTAAGAGGAAGGGTAGAATTAGTTAAATCAGAGTGAAAATCACATTCAATATCAGATGGTACAATAGAAATCAAATTACTATTGGGATAAACTGATTTTTTTAAATTTACCTGTAAATCAAAATTAGGTATTAACTAAAAGTACCATCTATATATAATTACAATATATTTTAAGATTAAAAAAACTTACATGGCTTGATGAACGTTTACTGAACGATTTATTTGATGAAGGAAACCAACCTCCATTGTTTCTTGCAGGAATATTGTAGGAACTAGCCCGGGAACTACTATGTGCCAATATATTATGCAGAAAACATTTTTCTGATACACTAGTTCCTGTATTTATTGGTAAATGTGATTTCTTTTTTAACGTCATAAGAGCTGCTAGTCTTAAATTGTCAACATCATCTTCATCAATACTCTAGAAAATACACAAGTATTATAATTAGTGAAAAGTTATTTTAAAGTTCATTGTATAAAATAAAATGATGATATTTAATATTTAATAAGATTACTAAAATCAATAACAAATTATATTTTTATTTTTATTAATAAATATTAAATTAAACTAGGTACCTATGAACTTAGATTTTTTTTTTTGTTTAATTAGATTTAAAACTATTCAATCAAGATCATGAAAAAATACAAATAATACATTATAAGTAAAAAAATATTTAATCATAGTCGTGTGCACTGGTGTAGCAAGGCTTACATTTAATTTCCCTTAAATCATCCCGGAAATTATGGTCAAGACAGACAAAGGCTGCTAACTATTACTACCTACTTACAACTAACCCTGTATATTGTGAAGTTAATAAATTTTAAGTATGTAATGCATACATTACATAATACCATCTAGTTTTGAAGTTATAATTTAGTTATAAAAGTTATATTTAAGTATTGCATTGGACCGATTATGAATTAGTAAATCAGGGTAAAGGTATATCCATAGTAGGTAGGTATATTAGGCACATAGCCAGTGTTAAACAGGTGAAATATAGGTACCTAAGATTAATATAATACCTATCGTAATGAGTATGTAGATTTATTATAAAAAGTAATAGCCATATATATTTACCTATGACAATTTTCATAGGTGATTTTAGTAGGTATGGTCACTTTTGTCATTCTATAGTTATTTTATGAAAATTTGTTTAATAGACAACATAAAAACTATACTTGGTGTATGGTAAGGTAATTATGAGAAATAGGGTGTCAAAATTTTATGTGGAGGTGTCTAATGTCATAGGTAAAATTTCGGACTTTGGCGCTAGGTACTGGTAATATCGTGTAATAGATACTCATTAAATATAAAGACAACAAATTGCAACTAACGATGAACCCATTATGAGAAAATGGGTTTGTTATAATGTCAAAGTTAAAACAGTGAGCACGCTTAGGGTATGTTTATAATACAGATCTGGATACAGCCACTTATAAAATTATTATCTATACTTTTGATTTGTTAAGTATTCAATTATATTACTACCTACCTAATCGCAAATTGTGTCATTCATTAAATAGGTATGCACTAAAATTATCAAACATGCGCTGATAAAATATGAATTGTTAAATCAGGAAATATGCTATTAAATCGAAAAAGAATAGGTACCTATCTAAATATTCAGAAAACCAACTCGGGTTGACATAGAGGTCGTAACATTAATGAAATAAAAAGCTTAAAAAACATATCATACCTAAATGCAAGTTTAAACCTTAGTACCCTACAATGCAGCATGCAAGTTTAAACCTTAGTACCCTACAATGCAGCATGCAAATTTAAACCTTAGTACCCTACAATGCAGCATGCAAGTTTAAACCTTAGTACCCTACAATCTACGGTAAGGACTGCGTTAATCAATAACTATAAGTAGCCAAGTATAGGTAACCGACATAATATTTTTTTTTTTTTTTTACTCACGTTGTAATCCATATTTTGCAGTCGTTGAGATAAATTGTTATGAATTAAAATAATACAGTCAATTCCGAGGTAGGTATGCTGATTTACACCGGAAACGGATCTTGAGTTAACCGTCTATTTGAACGAACACAAAACAAAATCGATTATTAGCACTCGACCGAGATTTGTTGTCCGTTTCATTAATCATTATCGGGGATCAACCAACAATATACTAATATATTATTAAGCCGCGATCGTTACTGATTTCCGGACTGAACCGTGGTCTGTTCGGCATGACAGGTAGGTAACGGAGCACGGACAACGGGGCACGACTGAGTACTGAGCAGCGACCGAGTAAACGTTGAGCAAGACGGCCAAGACGTGAGCAACGAGCATAATATTATAATGCTCCAGCAATAAATATTAATGACATAATATTTTGTCAGAATGCCGCGGCGGAAGAAATGAAAAAAATACATTGCCATGCGTTGTAACTTGTAAAACTACTAACTAGGTATACTAACCTGTAAGAGTGGTTATTAATTATATTATAGATAGCTATAATTATTATGTAGTAGTTATCTTTATCTATTATTCTACTGCAGCTATCTACTTATCTTATACCTAGAACTTTAACTCTTTACGGCATGGTGGGTTACAATATGGCATATGCCATAATATGGCCCACCATGCCGTTAGTAGGTAGTTAAGACTCGGTTATTTATGTAGAAAATACAAATAAACTTGTCGGCCGAACGAACAATTTCTCGTTTATTTCGTATATTTCTTCGCGATTACCTATATTATGTTATACGATTTTTTTTTTTGGAATTTTATTTTTTTCAAAAATCAACGAGTCCCTCTGGCGACCAAGACGATGTTTCGGGAGGCGTTGATACTCTGTTCCAATGGATTCCGCATTTAATGGGTAGGTAGTATAGGTATTATATAGGTACTATATTATGCATACTTTGTGCACTGAACTGAATGTAATATTTAATAATACAAATTAAGATATATATTATATTATAATATTTTAATTTTTATTATATTCTCTAGACTAGAGACTCTACTACTCTAGTGCTATTTTGTCATTGGGATATGAGATTATGCCACTATGCCAGTGTGTATCACCATAACGCAATAAATAGCCATAATAACGGACCGAATCGCGAGCACTGATTACTGAATCACCTACTGTATTCTCTGTATTGTACATATAATATTTTGTTTATGTACCTACCTACACAACGATTAATATAATCTTTATAATCGTGACCTACACCAACACCATAGACCTACCCTATAATAGTAATATGGTACCTAGTCACTACCTACTACCTACCCATTGAGTACAACTGATCATAGACAAGTACCTATACTAACCACTAACGAGTAACCGCGGGTGAGTGGTAACTGCCTACGATTTATGAACTACGAAGTAAAGTGAACAGAAATTTAATGCAGTTTTAATAGTAATGCAGACAGGAAGTAGGTATTGGCGTATTGCAGTAATCCTGTTTATCTCGTTGCATAAACAATCATTACTTAATTCACTAAGCTGTGGACTGTAGAGACATGAACTTAACTCCCATCCGGAATATTTATCAACGAAACAAAATACCTTCAGTAAACACGACTTGATATTATATTGTGTGTACCTATATACGACCCACCTGTACGACCGACGCCTTATTATTTTCCTATGGACGCGCTGATAAAGTTATATCGATTAGTAAATAGCATAGGTCCCATATGGGCATGGCTCATACTTAAGTTAGCACTTTAGTAGTTACATTAACACGTTCACTATACATTGTACACTTGTATAATCAATGATAGAATAGTAAGTACCAACAGAGTTACAACAGTAGATATATCGTAGGTAATAAATAATCATTTTTTTTTTTTTTTTTTTATTTTTAAGAGAAATTTACAATCTATACCTTAGGCACAATAGGTAAATGTGATACAGAATATACATATAAGGTATCAAAACAAATTAATATTAATAATAATAATAGTTTACAATAAATTATATACAACATGTTACGTTTGATGAGAGCAGCCACCCATTAATGACACTTTCGCTCGTTGTTTTTTTTTTTTTAGTTTTTTATTTCTATAATATGTATTATACATATTTTATTTTATTTTATTTATTTTTTTTTTTATTATTTATGCATATACTTAATTTTTTTTAGTACTTGATTTATAATTATACGAGCAAGTCACGGCACCATTTTCGTTTTAACCTTCTTGGAGGGTTTCCGGGGATAGTTGGGGTGGAGAGATTTTGAACGAGCGGATTGGGGTGAGATAATAAGTGGAGGTGGAAACGTTTGTAATACAATTTTGCTTCCTCATGCACTAGAGGTATTTTTAAATCGGAATGAATAGTATGATTAGAAACATAAGGAGGGGCATTTAATAATTTACGAAGCGCTAGATTTTGGAAAGTTTGAATTTTGTTTAGATTGGATTTTTTTGCGTTTCCCCATAGTTGCAGTCCATATGTCCACATGGGTTTGAGTAAAGATTTATAAATAAGGAGTTTGGTACTAGTGTGAGTGTATTTGTTGTTATAAATGAGATTTTTTAAAAGACGTAAACGTTGGTTTAAGTTTATTCTTTTTGATTTAATATGCTGGGCCCATGTCAGCCTTCTATCAAGGGTTAGGCCAAGATATTTAGTACTCTGAGCACTTGGAATTTGGGTCCCGTATAAGAAAACATCATTGCAAGGAGTAAGTCTTAGCGTGAACGTCGTATGGATGGATTTCGCTTGATTTATTTTAAATCTCCAGTTGGTGTACCAATCTTCCATAAGAGAAAGGTGAGATTGGAGATTTTGAACTGCTAATACAGGGTTAGAGTGAGTTGAGAGTATGGCTTTGTCATCCGCATAATCTGCAACTATTGTATTAGGGGAGGTTGGTTGGTCCGAGGCATATATATTGTAGAGGATGGGAGAGAGAATACCACCTTGGGGGACACCCGCAGAAATATTGGCTACAGAAGAGTAGGCATTACCAATACGTATTTGAAAATTACGCTCAGAGAGATATGATTTAATAACGAGGAAGTAGGTGGGATGAAGAAATTTTTTTAATTTATAAAGAAGACCGTCATGCCATACCCTATCGAACGCCTGAGAGATGTCGAGAAATGCACTAGTGCAAAAAAGTTTTTTTTCCAAAGCGTAGGATATGGCATCAACTACTCTATGGACTTGCTGTATAGTTGAGTGGGCAGAACGAAATCCAAATTGAGAATTGGGAATGATATTGTTTTCTGCTATATATGGGTGCAGACGTTTGAGTAAAAGTTTTTCCAGAATTTTGGCAAAAAATGGAAGTAGGCTTATGGGACGAAAAGAGGAGATAGAATCAGGTGGTTTATTAGGTTTGGGGACTACGATAATTGTGGAGAATTTCCATAAAATTGGGAAGTAAGAGAGACGTAAAACAGAGTTAAAAATATGGGAAAGATGAACAATTGCTTTTTTAGGTAGGCATCTAGCTACTTCAGCTGTTATTAGGTCATATCCTGGGGATTTCCTAAGGGTGGATTGATTTATTGTAAATTTAATATCATTTGGTGTGAAATGTTTGACAGGACTAGCCGTAGGAGAGGATGAAGAATTAAGATAATCATTAACAGTATTAACAATAGTATGGGAGAAAATGTCAGAGTGAGGTTGAAAAATATCAGAAAGATGCGCTTTGAAAAGTTCGGCTTTGTCAGAGTCAGAAGTTACATAACTGCCATCTGGGTTTTTGATTGGGAGATTAGCAGATTTATATTTACAAATTTTTTTAGTCGCTCTCCAGATACTACCATCTTTAGTAGATAGATTTGAAAGAAAATTAGCAAGGGATTCGGATTTATATTTTGTCAAAACTTTTTTAAGGTGGTTGGCTAGTTTATTATATTTTTGTTTATCAGACGGAAGACGCGTTCGTTGATACAAAGCTCTAGCTCTACGTTTTTCTACAATAATGCTGCGTATATATTCTGGAATTAGGGGGTGATGAGTTGTAGGTTGAAGTATTTTTGTTGAAGACCAAGCCGCAGACTGTATAAGTTTTGTAAGGTTATTTACAGCAAGATCAATATCAGCAGGTGTTTTAAGTTTTACATTGAGACGGATTTGTTGGTCAACAAGGTTATGGAATTTTAACTTATCAGTAGAGGAATTAAATAGTTTAGGAGACTCCTGTCTAGTCAATGGGGAAGCACTTACTGTTAACATCACTGAGGAGTGATCGGAATTAGGTTCGAGGAGGTTTTCTGTTATACAGTATAGGTTATTTGGAATTTTAGCAACAAAAATGTCTAAGATATCAGGGTTTTTGTGTGTGGAGGTCGGCCAGTATGTAGGACCAGGAGGGGCAAGAACTTTGAAATATTTGGATGATATAAAATTTTGAAGAACTAACCCACGCGGATTATTAGTACGACAACCCCATGACAAGTGTTTAGCATTATAGTCACCTCCGACTATAAAATTGTGATTTATTGTGAGAAAGTAGTCAGTAAGGATTTGGTTTGTTATCTTGTGTTTAGGGGGAGAGTATAAGGCCGCAATGGTGATCGGGACGTTGTTTAAATTAATTTTTATAGCACAATATTGCAAATAGGGCTGACAGAAATTTGGAAGCGATTGGAAGATGATCGATGATTTAATTAGGATGGCAACTCCACCATGGGCAGTGTTGTCAGGATGATTGGTTTTCAATAATTTGTAACCAGGGATATATATTGAAGAATATTTGGTGAAATGGGTTTCTGTTATAAGAGCTATATCTATTCGTTTAACGTGAAGTACAGTTTCAAGTTCATTAATATGGTTTTTTAAGCCATTAGCATTAAATTGGAGTATTAACAGAGATTTATTTGTGACGTTACTAGACATTATATTTTATCAAGTAGTTTCGTGATTACTTTATTGAGTAGAGAGATGAGAGGGTTTATAAGCGATTTGAACTCCTCCAGAAAATTAGTAATTGTGTTACTTAGATCTTGAGTTG